CTATTTAGAATTCCTTGACATTCCATATGGATTTTAAAAGAGATTATTCTGTTTCTGCAAAGAAACATCATTGGGATTTTAATAGGGATTGTATTAAATCTGCACGTTGGGTAGTATTGACATCTTAACATTATTAAGTCTTCTATTCTTATCTATGAGCATGAAATGTCTTTTCATTTAATATACTTCTTTAACTTCCTTGAGCAATGTTTTATAATTTTCATTGTATAAGTCATGCACCCTTTTGGTTAAGTTAATTCCTAAGTTTATAGCAATTTTCTTCCTTTTTTTTTTTGATGCTTTTGTAAATAGAATAGCTTTCTTACTTTCCTTTTTCAGATTGTGCATTGTTAGTGTATAGAAATGTAAGTGATTTTTGTGTGTTGAATTTGTTTCCTCCTAGGTTGCTAATTTTGTTAAGTTTAACAACCTTTTTGTGAAGTATTTAGCTCCTAAATTTTAGAATTTTTTACATATAAAATCACGTCATCTGTGAGGAGAAATAATTTTATTCCTTCCTGTCCAATGGGGATGCTTTTTATTTTTCTTGTCTAATAGGTCTGGGTAGAATTTCTGATACCATGTTAAATAGAAGTGAATACAAGCAATCTTTGCCTTATTCCTGATCTTAGCAGAAACGCTTCAGATTTTTATCCTTGTGAATGATATTTGCTGTGGGTTTTTCATAGATGGCTTTTATTTTGTTGAGGCAGTTTCTTTCTTTTCTTAGTTTTTTTTTTTTTAACTGAAATGATAACAAGTTTTGTCAAATGCTTTTTGTGCATCAGTTTAGATAATTGTGATTTTTCTTTATTCTGTTAATGTAGTGTTTTATCAATTAAATGTACATATTGAGCCATTTTATCAATTAAAGGTGTATATTGAGCCATTCCTAAATTCCAGAAATAAGTCTCATTTGTCATGGTGTGTAATCATTTAATATGCTGCTTAATTTAGTTTGCTAATATTTTGTTGAGGATTATTACATCAATGTCCATAGAAGATACTGGTGTATAGGGTCTTTTTTATTTGTTTTTATTGCTGCTTTTGACTTTGCTAGCATGGTAATTCTCTACTTATACATGTTTCAAGTATTTTGTCCTGCTGCGACTTGCCATTTCAACTTTTTGCTATTTTGCAAGAGAATTTTTTAAGTTTGCTGTAGTCAGACTTATCAATCTCTTTTTTGCATACTTGGAGCTTTATTTCATAAAATATTTATTTGGAGATCATGAAGGCATTCTCTTTTGTCATCTACATATTTTATACTTTTGACTTTCAAATTGGGAAATATTCCATTCTTTAGTGTGTATTGTTTGAAGTAGGTATCCAATTTCACTCATGTTCAAATATATAACCATTTTTGCCCAGCATTGGATACTGAAATTATCCTTTCCCCCCTCATCCACAGTGCAGCTTTATGACTAATTAGATTTCTCTCTATATAATCTGTTTTCTGTTTGTTGACCCATGTGTCATTGCCAAAATATCTATTACCACTTCCTAATATGCTTGATTTCTAGAGAGAAGTCTTTTCCCTTTTTCTTCTTCCAGAGTATCTTGGTATTTTTGGCCTTTTGATTTTCTATACATACATTAACATCAGCATGAAACATTTTATTTAGAAACAGGTGACAGGGCCATGTGTGGCTGCTCATGCCTGTAATCCTAGGACTCTGGGAGGCCACAGGTTGCTCTATGAAATTTGTTTGAGCTCAGGAGTTCAAGACCAGCCTGAGCAAGAGCAAGACCCTATGTGTACCAAAAACAAAAAAGGTTATCCAGGTGTGGTGGCATATGCCTGTAGTCCCAGCTACCTGGGAGGTTAAGGCAGGAGAATTGCTTAAGCCTTGGAGTGAAGTACAATGGCACCACTGCCCTCTAGCCAGGGCAACAAAGCAAGACCCTATCTCCAACAACAAAATTTTAAAAATTGGTTAAAAAAAAAAAAAAGCACCAGATAAACAACTGGAACTTTTGTTTAGAATTGTATTGAGTCTTTAAATCAATTTAGGGATGTATTAGTTTTCTAAGTCTGCCATAACAAAATACTATGGACTTGGTGGCTTAAATAATACAAGTTTATTTTTTCTAGAGTTCTAGAGGCTACATGTCTTAAGATCAAGGTATCAGCATATTTGTTTCTTCTAAGGCTTCTATCCTTGGCTTGCAGAGAGCCATCGTCTTGCTGTGTCCTTACCTTGTCAGTCCTTGATTTGTTATTATGTGTCTATGTCCTACCCTCTTCTCATAAGGACAACTGTCTGATTGGATTAGGGCCCACTCTGATGACCTCATTGTACCTTGCTTATCTCTGTAAAGAGTCTATCTCCAAATAGTAACATTCTGAGATATTGGGGGTTATGACTTCAAGATGGATCTGGGTAGAGTAGGGGAGGACACAGTTCAGCCCTTAACAGGAGAACACTTACATTTTTCTAATACTGAATCTTCTAAACTCCTGAACACAATATGTCCATTTTCCATTTATTTTTATGCCATTTAATACCTTTTAACAAAATGTATCATTCTCCATAGTCTTGGACATTATGTTAAATACTCTTCATTTAATTAGCCATACCCCACTTCCTCCCTTCTGCACTATGGCTCATGTCTTAGAATGTTAACATCTATAGACTGCATCAAAGGGCTCTTTTCTGGTCTCTGGCTAGGTTTGAGTAATTGGAAGCATGGGCAGGAGATCTAAATAGATCTTCATTCCTCGCTTACCCACTGCGGGGCCGATGACAGTTGGCAGCAGCCCTGTTCCTCTACTGACTACTGCAGCTCTTGTTCTGTGCCCTCCTCCTGAAGCCACAGCTCTCTCTGCGAATTCAGAGTCAAATACTACTCCCGTTCAGTTGCTCATTCGGATCTGTGGTTAGAACCCCATCTTCTTTTATGAGTTCCTCACCATTCCCTGTTATTGCTTTTGATCTTGACCACACCTTAGTAAATGAACTTTTCATTAAAATGTCCACAATTTCTCTACAGTATAGTGTGCCAGTTTTTTCTTGCTGGGAAATATACTTTGTTAGATTTGTTCCTATGTACTTCATAAACTGAAATGCTGTTTTATATGGCATATTTTAACATTACATTTTCTGTTGTTGCTTATGTATAGAGATGTGATTGCTTTTACTGTTTTTTAAAAAATCCAGTAACCTAGCCATTGAACTCTGGTCTGGGCAACATAGGAAGAGCCCATTTCTAAAAAAAAAAAAAAAAAAAAAAATCCTGTAATCTTGCTAAACTCTCTTACTAATTCCAATAATTTAGATTCTTGTTTGTTTTCTTTATATATATCCCTATAAATAATCACAGATTTGTAACTTCCTTTTCAACATTTATGCCTTTTGTTGGCACCTGATTTCTAGTACAATGTTTTATTGAAGTGGCAGTAGTTATCTTGTACCTAGTGTAACAGTGAATGTTTGGGTGTTTTACTACTAGGTGTGGTGGTTCAGATAGTCTATCAGGTTAAAAAAATTCCCTTCTATATCTCAGAGAACTGTTTACACACATTTTAGCATGAGATTCTCCTTTAGTCTTGTAATATTAATTGCATTCATCTGTCTTATATTACGCTGACTTTGAAGCTCACACAATCAGTCATGATACATAATGCTTTAGAACTCAGAATCCAAAAGAACAGTAATCAATATATTCTTTAGTGCCAAAGTAGGTAACATAGTTATCAATTACATTCTTATCTACATCTATGACCATAAATGAATATTAATTTTTAACTGACCGATTGTATTGCTTTAACGTAAGTGTATCTCTCATTCACACAGCAATCTATTTAATCAGTAGGCATTTCTTGAGAATTTACTAAATACCATTCACTTTTGCCATTAAGAAGCTTATAAACTTAAGTGTGATTGGGGTGTGTGTGACAGAGAGAAACGGTGAGGTGAAGTTAACTCAAAGTAGTAGAACGCCAGATAATGAAAAACAAACACAATCACTGCTGTACTTTAAGTGAAAGAACAAGTGCTAAGGAAAAAGAATGGAGACACATTTCAAACTACCATTCAAGTTATTCGACTTGAATCTTGAAGGATAATTGGCATTCACTGCAAAAAGTTAAAGGAAACATTCACAGACATTTGTATTGGTTACATATTAGTATATACTAAGATTTCCTACCCTGGGTATAAAGTGGTGACCAAAACACAGAGAAAGAGCCATTGCTTAGGAAAATTTCTGTTTGAACAATCAATGTACGGTTCTAGTTGTTTCACAAAGCAGCATCTGCTGCTGTGGGCTTCTTTTTATATGTAGTTTTTAGATTCTTTTAGTATTTCCTTTTTGGTCTATATATTATAATGTACATGAATGTAATTTACAAGTTATTGTCCGTGTATTTGGAGTGTGGGCTCAAACTTTATTGATTCAGGTATTTCATTTCAAAAAAAAAATGTGGGGTCTACTATTCTAGAGTCCTCCGAAGTGATCCAAGGGGAAAGTATCATGCGTTTAATTCCAATTAAAGCTACATAACACTCACGCCTAAAACACTAGCAATACTCAGGAAAGTTACCCAGCAGAAGGAATGGCTTGGGGAAATTACTTTCACTAGGATGTTACTTGTACGCAACTCCAGAGAAGCTGCGTGGATAGTTCTAATAAGGAAAATTTGCAAGAAAGTTGTCAGACAATATTTGCTGGTTTGGGATGCCAGGGGGATGGCTCCAGTTTCTATGATGTTCGGAAGCCGAGCACGGCTGGGCGGCTTAGCGCGTTCGCTTACAGTAGCAGCCGCGAGGTCCCCGGGGTTTACAGAAAGTGGGAAGTCGTCCCCTCCTGCCGAAGAGCAAGGGCTTCCCAACCGATCAGTGCTCAGCACGAGGTGCCCGGCCTGGAGCACCACTAGACGCGGTTCGCAGCTGGGTACTGCCACCCCCACGTGCCCAAGTGGCCAGAAGCTCGCGCCTGCGCGTTCCTATCCTTCTCGGTTAAGTCTATTTTACCCGGCGAACCCGCCCTCCCGCTGATCGTCACTTCCGGCAGACGCTCTGCGTCGTTTGCGTCGTCACTTCCTGCCGATACCGGTGTGGAGAGTGCGGGTCGCAGCTGGCCGGTTCTCCTGTTCTCCCCCTCCCCTACTTTTCCTCCCTCCCTCCCTTACCCTCTCCCTGGGCTACGGTCGCTCACCTGTCGCTCACTCCCTGACCCCTCCCTAACCCCCTCCGGACCACCTTGCGGCCGGATTGGCCTCTTTTTCCTGATTTCCCGGCCCAGCCCCGGTGTCAGGGCGGGGGCCTTGTGGAGCCTGAGGCGCTGCAGCTGCGGAGAGAAAAGACGACGACGACCCTCCGCTTCCCAGTCCGGTCGCCGCCATGGCAATGAGGCAGACACCGCTCACTTGCTCCGGCCACACGCGACCCGTGGTTGATCTGGCCTTCAGTGGCATCACGCCTTATGGGTATTTCTTAATCAGCGCTTGCAAAGGTGAGCCGGGCCGCCGATCCGAGTCCCCGACTGCTAGAGCTGGGCCGAAAGGGATTGAGACCCGTGCTCCCCGGGGCGGAAGGGGCGGCGGGGACCGTAGGCTTGAGGGGCGGGCCGACATTGGTCTGGTGGGAAAGGAGGAGTGTTAGGGAGCCCGCAGCTGGAGTGAGAGAGGCCTTCTGATTCCTGTGGGAAGGCTGAGTATTAGCCCAACGGAGGCCTCTGCTAATTTTTATTGCTGTTTCTGGAGCAGTATTGTACTTGTCTACGTTCCAGACAGCAAACACTGTGAAGTATCTTTCAGCGATTTGGGGAAAGTAGAAATTAGGCCGGGCCAAGCTATGCCTTTGCGAAGGCATCAGCTCTTAACTCGCTGGGTATTCCTTTTGCCTTATTTTTTTAATGGGAAACTGAGATTTCAGGTTTAGAAGTTTGTCCAAAATAAAACTCAAAGCTAGATTGTTTTGACGCATTCGAGTATTCCTACCTAATCACAGATATTTTTTTTAAGAGTAATGATCAGTTCAGCTTTTTAGTTAATTTATTTCTGGACATTTCTTAGTGATCCTAGTGAGTGGGAATAGTTGGGGGTGGGGGAACAGTTATCCGCTTTGTCATTCAACATAATCATTGTATGTTTGAATCTTAGATTTTAAGTACTACATAATATGTTTACACAATATGTTTGTAAAAATATGTATTTTTTTTGTAAAAATATTTTTTAGATGGTAAACCTATGCTACGCCAGGGAGATACAGGAGACTGGATTGGAACATTTTTGGGTCATAAAGGTGCTGTTTGGGGTGCAACACTGAATAAGGATGCCACCAAAGCAGCTACAGCAGCTGCAGATTTCACAGCGTAAGTGTAACCCGAATGTCTGACTTTCACGTTTACAGTGGATTGTGTTTCGAAATAATCAAAAACTTCAGCCTCAGATACTCATGAAATTCTGACTCAGTGGCTACCATTTAGAACAAGTGATGTTTGATGTCACCCACATTCTATCCTGATCCTCTGTGCTGCTTTTGTCTTCAGTGGTTCTCAAAAATTTCAGAGGCGTAAATGACTTATTCTTTATGTCTCAACTTCGGACCAGTGAGTCTGCATTATTAACATGCACTCCAAATAATAAACGTTGATGATTTCTTTTACAAGTACTCTTCTGTATGCATGCCTTAGTGATACCATACATTCATGAGTCCAGATTTTTATTTCACAATTTTCCTTTACTGTCCTTAGACATACTTCAAAACTCATTGTGGGGGAAAAAAGAAATTCATTGTGTCCTAAACTCAGTTAATTATTTTCTAAGTTTTTAAAGATTGAAATCTAAATTATTCTTGATTTTCCATTACTATAGATTATCATCATTTTTTTTTTTTAATTCAAACAGCAAAATGTTTCTTGACTGTAATGTTTCTCCATGTATATGCCACTGCCTTAGCTCAGGGTCGTTATTAACTCACTACCATCAGTCTCTCTCCCTTTTATTCCTATTCCGTATTGCTGCCAGGTCTTTTTCTAAAAACACATTTCATCATGTGACTTCTATATTTACTAATCTTCACATCTTCCCTTTGATATTTTGGTGGTTCATGACCCTTGGTATGCATTAGAATGATCTGCAAAGCTTTTAAAATATTCAAATGTGTGTGTTCCAGAAATTCTGATTTAATTGGTCTGGGGATGAAGTACTCATCATCTTTCTTTTTTTTTTTTTTT